TTCTTCCTTATCTAATATCCTCCTTGGCAAAGTGGGCTCTGGCATGCCCTTCCTAGAGGCCGTACAGCCTTCACAGACCACCTCTTCCCAGAGCAAGTTCTGGGTCGTTAGAAAGTAGTCTTACAGTTAGAACAGTCAGGGGCTTGTTAAGTGCAGGCTCCTAGTTCCTTTGCCAATATATAATTCCCTCAAAAACTTAGTAGGCCTTTGATCTATTTGTTTCCAGTCAGTTCCATGTGCCAGTAACCGCACACAAAGTCCTTTCCTGGACATAATTCTTAAGGCTGATTTATGTCTTTGCCTCCGTTCCTCTCGCTTTGAACTAACAGAAGCCACCTGGAGTCCAGATGAAACAACAGGTCAGCAGTTTCCAACGTTGGCTGCACGATGCAATCACTTGAGGGAACTTTTAAAAACTGTCTTATCTAGGTTTCATGTACCTTTGACCCATTAAATCAGAAGCTATGTAAGTGAGAGCAAGGTAATTCTGATGAACAGCCAAGAATGAGAACTCATGCCCTGATCTGATCTTTGCCATAGGACTGTCATCTTTCTTTGACTGAGAAGGTTCACTAGGCCTTTGTGGCTCAAAGCCTTTCTCAACTCTTACCTATTGCTCTCTAGGGTCTACAAGCAATCTGTTTTTCCTGTCAGAAAACAGTTCCTGTTCCAACTGTCAGAACTTTCTCTATTCCCTTTCATTTTTTGCTTGAAAACTAGACAATTCTTTCTTAAGCTCATCTCTTTCGTGTAAGACCTAACAAAAGACAGTCAACACACACTCGCACTTCAATCCTTTCCAACATTTGACCCAGAGCTCAGGTGGCAAGAAGTGGACCTTCTAAGTTATTATGGATGACAAATTTAGCCACTGGTCACCACTGCATAACATAGATTTCTGTCCTTCCCACCTCCAACATTGGTGTCCTTATCAGGGCTACCTGACTGCTAAGCCAACAACACAAATCTCAAGGTTTTGCTGTAATAGAACTTACTTCCAGAACCAGCTACTATAGCCAACACTAAAACCTCAGTAGCTTAACACAAGGTTTCTCTCTTGCTCCTAGCTCTCTTGATCAAAGTCAAGCAAGGTAGCAGGATATTCTTCTCCACCTATCATTCAAGGACCCAGTTTCCTTTCATTTATGGTTTCATCTTCCTCTGGGTCCTAATGAAGTTCTCTCCCCTAAGTTGTGGTAGAGAGGACAGAAAAGGCCCTCAGCTATTAATGGCCTTATTCTGGGAAGACACATATCACTCTGTTCACATTCCACTGATAACTGGTATTTACATGGTTTTTCTTAGATACAGGGAAGCTGAGAAATGTAGTCTAGATGCATGCCAAGCAAAAATGGGAAAAGAGCAATGTCAGTGAGCCCTCATGGTCTCTTTCACACCCCTTAAAATTCAAGCCCCACTGAGTAGGGATCTTTGTCCGGTTCTGTTCATAGACGTATCTCATATGCCTGTAATAGTGCCTGGTACGCACAGCATGAGTTCAAATAATATCTTTTGAATGAATAATGAATGCACAGAATGAATCACCATATAGCATTTTTTTCTAAAGTAAAGTCAAATGAATGGATTGATGCCTGACAGAATAATGAATTACACTGCATAGTTACTTAGACAAAATATTAAACAAACTTTTGGAAAAATCAAAATAAACTTCCAAGCACCAATATAACACCTATCAATCTACAATGCAAATTCATATACAAACTTGTTAAACGTACACTAAATTTATCCCTTGTGAACACAGAGAAATAGTTATTCAAATACTCGTATAAACACAGTGGGCAAATGTCAAAGAAATGACTATTAAAGAGATTATACATCTTTTTGTTAGTGGAAACTTCTTTACCCACATCAGTCTCAAAATTCATTCAGATCTTCCTCAAAGAGCAAGGGTATTATACATACAGAGTTCTAATCCTGAAAACAAGTCACATACATACACACACACACACACACACACACACACACACACTGCTAAAAAACGTTACCAAGATGCATCAATCACACATAATGCACATACTCATCAAAATTCAAAACAGATAGCAACTTCAAAATGATGCATGCGTATTGTTCATGACTTTTCTTGAAATCTTAAGTCACTATAATAAAAATAAATAAAATTTAAAAAACAACAAAGCTGAAATAAAAATAACAACAAATGGGGATATGACTTACTACACAAGAGTGTTATGAGAATCAAGCAGAAGCACAAAAATTCACTGTGATTTCTGTACTTTATGTATGCTTTTGCTCAATGAAATAAAGCACAGGAAAACCTGCTTTGTAAATCATAAAGCAATATTCAGTCACTTATATTTTAAAAAATGTAAAATTCCCATTTCTAAAAGGGTTATAAATTAGCTAAATGAGCAAGTTCAAATTAAGATGAACAAGTTCCTCATTCTCTCTCTGTTTTTTTAATTTTTTTAATGTTTATTTATTTTGAAGGGGAGAAAGACCGAGTGTGAGAGGGGGAGGGGCAGAGAGAGAAAGGGAGACACAGAATCTGAAGCAGTCTCCAGGCTCTGAGCTGTCAGCAGAGCCCGATGTGGGGCTCAACCCACAAACCGCAAGATCATGACCTGAGCCGAAGTTGGACGCCTAACTGGCTGAGCTACCCAGGCACCCCAAGCTCCTCATTCTCTAGCCCAACATGTAGATGAGAATTATCAAAAGAAACATCCCAATGAATCCAATCATTACAAAAGGTAACAGAGCAAAGAGCTATCTCAGTGCTGAGTTAGACTCTAAACAAAAAACAGTGGGAAAAACATTAACAAATCATTTACCACCAAGGGACACTTGTACTTTAAGAAAGGGAAAAGCAACAACTTGGAAATCTATAAATTATCTCTATTCAATGAAAAAGGGAAGAGACTACTATGTTGTATTTTTTTCCTTTGCTTGTTTAAAAAATTTTTAAATAATCACTCCTCAACCAAAAACAGTATTAGAATTTACAACACAACAAAACCCCAGATAGGATGTTCAGTTTAACACAAATTTTATGGTTAAGTGTAACTGAAAACCTATCTGATAAAAAAAAAAACAAAAAACAAAAATTACCTCTAACATGTCAGAGATGTAGGAAGTAAAGTGCACACATGGATTGAAAGTTGTTCTTTTTTTTTTTTTTTTAACTAATCCCTGATATGAATTTACCTTCTTTTTGTTCTTGGTTGAGTTTTAAAAAGACTAATTAGAAAAAAAGGGAAAGAAAAAAAAATCCTGATTATTGAAGCTTTCTAAATACTTAAAGTCCAGTAGGATGACCAAGGGTAAGAACCTAAATCCTGAATTACACTTATGACCCTCTATATGTTCTACCCTTTAGCAAACCAACCAACCAACAAATGAAAACCAGAGGGAAAAGTTTTTAAAACAACTTTTTGGAAATAAAAGTATGGCATTTTGTGGGGGTTGCCTGGGTGGCTCAGTCGGTTGAGCACCTGACTTCGGCTCAGG